GTACATGAACAAGTGCAGGTTAGGTGCAGGGAAACATCAGAAATACCTGCACAGACCCAATTTTACCTGCATGCTGCACTAACCTGAATATACATGTATCCAGTAATAGACCAGTACAGGTTAGGCGCAGGTAGACATAAGAAATACCTGCACAGCCCCAACTTTCTTACTGCATATACCAAGTATTTCGAGCCCTGACCACGCCATGACTACATCCATCCCGGCCTAATACTTTTTTCTACAGACATCGTAAGACGCGTCGTTACATTTTTAGAGATGAGGTAGAACTGTTGGAAGTAATTTCCTACCCGTCTATTTGTCAGGAATGCCCGGGCAAGATAAGAGCCATGCTAGCGCCGTTACATACGTAGGAGGAAGCAGTTATCTATTTTTAGTGGGGCACAACCCATGGTTTGAGAGAAATCGTTCCGGACAGGCAGAAGTGTCGGTGCTTTGTCTCGTCTTGACCCGCCTGTTTTCTTTCCGCTCACGTAGCGGAGAGTGTTCGGTGTTACCGCAAGTGGGAAATGTTCCTCCGCTCGAGTAAGGCAGATAAAGATTAACCAGGGTTCTTCCTGCACACATGTCTTCCACTTGACCGAAGAGACATTTTCCTTTCAAAGCTTCGCCCTGCGATGTTCTTGGATGATTCTTCTTCATTTTCCTGTGGAAGGCTGTCTTTAGTTACCTACGAAACCCTCAAGCAGGGAGAGCACAACAATTCCTGCACACACGTCTTTCACCTGACATTTTCCTTTCAAAGCTTCGTCCTGTGATGTTCCTAAATAATTCTTCTTCATTTTCCTGCGAGCAGTGCCTTTAGTAATACCTAGAAGACCCTCCGGGAGGAATATAGAAGGTTAACGATTCCTTAACAATTTTCTCGCTGTCTAAGAGGTTTATGGGACCTGGGAAATCTCCTTCGTAAACAGTTTCTTCCACCTTGTAGGCGCTATCGCGTCAGGGGAGAAAGGAAGGTCTGTGTTTGGGGCGGCTTTTCCATCGTCATAGCGTCGCGAATAGGAAGATGCGGGTCACGCGAAAGCGTAAGTTCAACTTGGCAACAATCGCCGGTGGATTGACGGTTGAAGAGATCAACTTCTTTTCAAAAAGTATTTAAATAGCGGAGTTCTTGCGTGTTATTATTATTAATTTCATACAGCGTGACAGGGAATATCAAGGGTGCCTAATGCAGTTTTTAGGGTATGCAAACCAGATTTTTTAAAAGTCAATATTCTAGTCACTTATCTACATACTACACTATCACAATGTATGTCAATGCGGATAATTGCTGATATTTGGGGTATCACACACAATTCAACATAAAGAAATCATTTTGGGCTTGTTTCTTCGCTGTTTTGAATGTCAAACTTATGCAAATGTGACAATGTGGGACAGTATGTGTCAATATCATACGGATTGCCTTGTTCAGAATATTTCTATTTTTGTCTCCCTCGAAGTGCAATTGTTGTTTATTTAATAATTATATGTACATTTGTGCTTTTCGTATTCTATGTTTTATGTATTCTATTTTACGTTGGTGGCGGCATGAAAATAAGTCGAACACTTGAGTGTGCCGTCACCATGTCTTGTCATTACTGCTGCAATAAAAAAAAGTACATTGGATGCCTTTAGCGATATCTCTCTCAACAGAAGTCAAGATGGAAAGTGTCTTCTCTGAGATGAGAGAAAGAAAAAAACGCCTGGAGGCATTTGGCTAAGACGCCGGGAATGTTAACGTCGTCTTAAGCTTGCAAATTAAGTCAGCTCAGAGAAATGAGGAGGATTTGAGTTCGATGCTGCCGTGAGTTAATCACACTTCACGGCGTGGAATAGCGCACGGCACTTTTAGGCCACACCGTCTTAATTTTATGGATGACATCCGCGCGCGCATTGATTTTCACCTGTTCTCAAAAAAAAAAAAAGATCACGTCCTTCTAAGCTCTGGCCTGGATCTAGGCCTGGGTAGTCCAAGGCAGTTAGCGACAATAGGGAGCCAGTGGTAACTCTGGAGGATGACACTCAGGCTACCGAAGCTCCACGACTCAAGAACTCAGTACATACGTACAGTGCCGATTCATAAATTCCGCAAAAAGCCAGCATGTGCCGGCTTATACGTCGCTATGTACTGCCGCAAATTTACAATACCAGCTTTGTATTCCTTTGGTTTAGTAGCACTTTTATTTTTGGCCGGAATTTTTTTTATTCGCCCGCGCGCACTAGTTTGGGTGTCTTCAGAGGATGTCACCCATAAAATTAAGGAGGTGCGGCCTAAAGGAAAAAAGTGTTTCCTGTTCCCCAACCGACCGTAGAAATACCCGCCGACCCTAGCATCTTTTTTTTGGGGGGGGGCATAAATCTGCAAGGGTCATAAATTTTTTGAGCTGATCAACCTTTTCTATGATCTGACACCTGAGTGCTAAAACGTTGTACAATTGATTTTCTAACATTGACATTGAAAATAAAAGTGCCCTCTTGCAAGTTTTACTTTGTTAATCTGTATTGTATAAGTTGGATCCCTATATAGATATCACTGAAGTTAAAAAAAAGAGAAAAAAAGATAATCTATCATTCTATCCATCTATCTGTATCTGAATCTGTATCGGTATAGCCGGTACCGGTATAACCGCCCTTCGGCGTAACACACCAGCTTCGCAGGCACGCGGCGCGGCGGCAGCTAGCTATATCACACCGAACGGCTTGTTACACTCAATCTTTGCACATTTGATTGCAGGAGTTGTTTAAAGCTTTCTAGTGATGATGCCCCAACTGTGCTTGGTTGCAACGAGTTCCAGTCTACGATAGTTCTGGGGAAATACGAGTTTTTGAATACCTCAATTCTTGGTCGATAACTCTGATATTTGAAGGCATGACTGTTTCTTGTTCTTGTATCTATCTATATCTATCTACCCCCCTCTCCCGCTCTCTCTCAGTAATGCAGAAATGCCTTTGAAATATGGCGCATCCCAAAAAGCTACTAGACTGATGTATGACAGTCAGAGCAGCATCATTTACTGAGCTCTTCTATCAAAACCGAATCATCCCTAGCCTGTCTGCTATTTTCTGTACATGTGAAAACATAAAACATCTATCGTCAGTTAGGACACAGCAAGTAAATTTTATGGATGACATCCTCGTCAGACTCCACATCTAATGCGAGCGGGCGAAAAAAAAACAAGGCGGGCCGAAAAAAAACAAGGTTCCTACATTTTGAAATTTTGACTCAATCATTGTACAAATGGTTTTGATTCAGTGGGAACATCACATATACACAGCCAGCATCACATACTCGTATCACTGTATCAAAGTAAGAAACAAAACATTAAATCAGAGTCTCGTCTTGTCTCCCCTCTTCATATTTATCTGCCATCCACGTTCCGGCATGGCAACAGACATATTTGCCCATTTCGGCATGTTGACCACTGTCAGAAGGCAACAAAATTTCTTGTGTTTTTTTCCAAAATCAGGCGAAAATTAATGCACGCCTTGAAGTCATCCATAAAAAAAAATACTTGCTGTGGCCTTAAGACAAGGTGGGAAGAATTAGATCTAGTATAACCGAATCCTCACCACCGTTCAAGTATGGGGTAACATCAGTGGAAACAATGTAAATTAAACTGCCTGGATTTATTTTTTGTTATATTCACATGGATTTGTCGGCAGCAGCGATTGTTCGAAGAGTGCTATCAGTGCTGTATGTTTTCTTGAGGGGAGGGAGTTACTTCAAGGCGGTTATATGTATCAGAATTTCATACACCCCATCCAATAGATAAATTACATTACATTACAATTTTAGAAGGAAATATAACCCTTTTTGTGTACAAAAATAGGTAAATATAGCAAAGAATATTTAGACCTTAGAGGTATTAGTATACGCGACATTTTCAACTTGTAGGTTTATTCATATACTTGTACGTAGGTTATTCAATGTTGTATCCGGTTGTCCGTATGTTTCGTTGTCGTCAAGCCAAGCTTTGGAATTCCCTCCCTGACAAGTGTTTTCCACCAAATTACAATCTACAGGCTTTCGAATCAAACGTTAACCGCCATCTCTTGACATAGCCATGTTTCTCTCATCTTTCTAGTTCAATGCCGAGAGGTGGTCGCATAGGCCTTGCATTGAACCACTCCGTTAAAAAAAGTCTAGACATTACGAAAGTCGCTGTACTTTTGTTGTGTCAATAAAGATTGTTGTTATGAAGGCGACTATTGAGTGCTGCCCTACTAATATTTGGTTCTAAGGTTATCATTGATAAACGTACAATCGTTTTCTTTATCACACGGGAGGTACTATTCAATTATTCAGAGGTCGATTCACCTCAACCACGTATCCGCTAGCGACAACATTCCTCTTTTCTTTCTTCAGTATTTTCCTTTTCAAAAACCAATCTCTTGAACATTGTGTGGATTGTTTACATCCTAAATGTTGCGGTGGCCGTGGGAGAAACGTAATGACTGTGAGGTGTGTTGTCGGTGAAGAAGGGGCCCATCCCCCCGCTTCGAATTCTGTCAATGCCACGTCGCATCCAATAGAGTCCCCGCCATGCCTTGTTGACTGGGTGCCTATCTTATGGGAATAGACGGACGCGCAGCATTATCAATTTGCTTCGCTAACGCCGGAGCACACACCGGGGCTCAACACTCACCGACAATCGATACGACAGATCTAAAATGGACGGCGTTATCCCCTATTGAAACACTCTGGCGCTAAATCTCTGCACCCCAAAGTTAGCTGAGAGAGAATATCATCCCGATCGTTTCGTACGGCGCGCCCTTTTGTGACTGAACAAAGAGGGAATGATTTGATTTTCGAGATACTGGGGCGGTTGCTCAGTTCCTCTAACACTTCCTCCCTTTCCTCTCCTTCCAAGGTACTACAAGAAACCGTCATTGGCGATGCAGATTTGAGTGTGAGCGACGCCGACCGGGAGAGCGTGGCACACGGCTAGCCCCCGGAAGGCACCACAGGAATGAGAAGAAAATAGAAAATCGTTACCTACCGGTGATGCCCTCGTATGTCCACCAGTCATCCCAGGCTACAGCCTGCCCTGTGGGGACCACAAGCAGTCGAAACATCGGTTAGAAATTGCACGCGTGGGGATAGAACGACATGGTGAATCGAGAATCACATCGATAGCTAGCCCAAACGTATACAGATTTTTGCTACTAATGATGAAACAGAAATTCTCCCACTTAGGCAGAAAAAAAGAACTATTTTTTTTACCTTCCACGTTTGTAGCTAGCTGTTGCACTAGCACGATTGTGAAGAGGATATAAGGGAACATCATCGCTTGTTGTTATCCGTTGTTGCAGCTGGAGTCGTGTTCCTGTTCTGTTGCCCAGACCGTCGCGCTAGGTGCCTGCCGCGGTACGTATCCCCAGTTTGGTCTCCAACCTCGCCGTACTCCGACAATCGTTGTTGCGTGCGTTGCACTCCCACAAGCTTCGGGTAGAAGAAGAAGATAGAAAAGTCCAGTCCAAAGGAATCCTTGCGTTGGTAGCTAAGCAAGAGATGCAAAATCTGGAGCAGCGGAAAGAAGAAAGATGACAATGTCGGTCTCCTGTGGTATTTTTTTCAGTCTCTCTCCCCGCGCGCGTCCCCACACCTTGGAGGTGTAGTAGGTTGGACCAAACTGGGTAGGTCCGCTACCTGGCGGGCCCAGACGCAAGCCTTATATGCGGTACGTTCCACATTACCTCCAGCCAATCAGAGCACAGCCCTGCCTGGCGCGGCCCGCGAATGACCACACGCCGTACGGCCCTTACGTCTAGTCACGGCACGGCAAGGCTCTGTCAGGGCACGGGATGTCAGAAGTCAGTAACGATATCTGACGGCTCACATGGTGCCACGCAGAGCCTCCCGCAACCGGCTCAAATTAAAGGCAAGCCGTATTTTAATCTACCCATTTTGGGGCCGGCGCTGGCGGGGCGTTTGGAACGGCGCGCTGACAAATTGCACCGCCCCTCAAATCGAAAAAGCAAGAAGGCTGCGCACCCTTGGACGCGATCCCTTCATTTGCACCGGGAGTATCTCTAGCGAGCAGCCTGTGTTTTTGTAATGGTACTGGCGATCGAATAGACGTTCTAGATCTCTGTTCTTCAAGCAATGTTTGCGTTGTGCTGTATCACCACACTTTTCTACATAATCTCCGGAAAAGAGACAGACGCGTGCGCGCTGACAGCACAGACAAGTGACACGCGCCGGGGACTGGAGCCGGGAACGTATCGGCTTTATCAGGAGAAAATCTCGGTGTTTACAGCCGATGTTTTCCGGCCATTAACAACCCCGGCGCCTGGCTGGGGGAGAGAGCCGGGGCGCTTGTATCGCCATCTGCTGAGAGTATAGATTATCGCACTAATACGTGTTATTCAAATATCGCGTATTGGAACGAACGCGATTTGACTTTAACGACGGCGCAGGCACGTAATGTAATGTTACACACGTAGCGATGGTACCACCGCTATTCTAATCTCCAAGCAGATCTTTTGGTGGCTGGCAAAGACAGAATCAAATTGGCCAGACTGTATCCATCGGCCAGACAGTTACCATCTCGCCACCAGAGCAACTGTCTGGCCAATGGATGCAGCCTGACCAATTTGATTCTGTCTTTCTAGCCACCAAAAGATCTGCTTGGAGATTAGAATTTTCTACTCTTTGCCTCTTTGTCTGACCATTCTGGTGAGGGTATAGAGTCGCATGACAACCCCACCCCGCCCCCACCATATCAGATCGTCCGAGATGTATATCACCTCACATGGTGGTCTGGACGTTATGACGGATATATTATTAAAGACTTGTGCCCGTGAGTAATTGTCGGCATTACCGGGAGGATCCCTCGCCCTCCCCCGAGACCCATCCCTCTCCAGCCCGCTCCCTTCCCCAGGCCCTACCCTACAACTCCGATACATTAACGGGTTCAACGCCGATCCAGGTCTACCTACCCAGCTGTCATCCCAACACATGAGCTACGGACGAGCCGATGATATTGGAAATATGACGATTGGTACAGCCATGGCGTCCGGGGGTAGAAGGAATGCCTGTCATTATTCTGTAGTTTAGGCCAAATAGAAGATGAAATACATTTCACCATAGATTGCCCCTTGTATAGTAGAGATAGACTCATATTTTTTTAGCCATGTATTAAGTATATTTCCCCATGTTAGTTATTTGACTAGTAAAGAGAAATAAGCTAAGCAAGATTTGGAAGTCTAATCTACCACGTAAAATCAAACAAAGGCTGTTTATTGCCACAGTTGAGTCCATTCTCTTATATGGATCCGAAACGTGGTCCCTGACCAAATCACTCGAAAAAAGGCTGAACGGCTGTTATACCCGAATGTTACGAATGTGCCTAAACATTCCATGGCAACTCAAACTTACAAACCAACAGTTGTACCAGGATCTACCTGCTGTCACAGACAAAATACGAGAACGCAGGATGAAAATCGCCGGTCACTGCATTAGACACCCGGACATCCTGGCATCAAGTCTCATTCTGTGGGAACCGTTAAAAGGAAAACGGAGCAGAGGGAGACCCAGAGTAACATTCCTGGATAATCTGCGCAAAGACACCAACTTACAGGACACCAGGGAGATAAAGAAGGCCATGGAGGACAAAGTGCTTTGGAGACAACTCTCAGGATTGGTTCGAGCGGGAGCTCGAACTAAGTAAGTAAGTAAGTAAGAGAAATTTGTATTCCTTTTAACTTTTGATAAACCTACTCTAAGTAATCTCACAGCCGCATATATTCATACAATCACTACTAAGCGAGATGAAGCCGAAAAGAATAGAAATTAGACATTTATTTACACTCTTATATGTTCACATATTTGTAATGTATATGTTTATGTTCATGTTCTGTACCCATGCGACCTGTACTTAGTTCTGTAGAACACAGATGTACAATAAAGGTCTTCATTCATTCATTATTGACTAACCATCGAGATACCCTATCCCCACATACCGTGCTACGGTTTGTAATGATGATCCATAGCACCCGACCCATACGTGGACTTGATTTCGCGAAGACAAATTGTTTCCAACATCAACAAGATAGAGAGAGTAACGTGTAGGAGCCCGATACGGTGCGTACTATGGTCCGATGGAAAAATTAGATCCTCCATGTATGCATTAGTACCCGCTTTGTGTGAGCACTGGGTGTCAAGTATGTGATACAGAGATAAACCCAGTTGACGGAGAATTAAGAGAGGGGCCGGGTTGAAAGACCTTGGCAGCCGACAAAAGAAGCATTGTTCCCTAGGCCTCACCTAGTAACACCCATCCGTAATGCGAACAGGTACTAGATGCGAGATAACAATAACATGGGCCGGAGTTTCAGATTCTGAACTCCATTTAACCGTGTTTTATCGTTCCCCGCAGGGTCTGGCATGTATCATTTCTGCGTATGGATCATTGATGAAAGCAATTATGAAAAGGGTATCACTCTCGGATTTTATATTGCGGCAACAAGATGGGGGTGTCCGTTACCGTTTTATAGACAAAAGTAATGATGAAACTGACGCTCATTATACGATTATGACTCTACATTATCCTCTTAACAATAACTGGCTCTTTTACGAGTAGCAGGTATAGAATACTGGAAGCTGATATATGAAAATAAAGCCGACCCAGTGTCACAGTGTTTCTGATGCAAGGATACTTGGTGCAGTTCTTAATTTTCGCCCTCTTGGAGATACAACGTGATTTTTTTACAGTACAGTAACATACACTGGTGTAAGGGCCATTAAGAATAATTGAATGGTCATCTGCTAGCAATATAAGATCGTGGATTGACCGAAATATAGGTCATACACGGTAGGAAGGGTTGTGTCTATCACTGTTGTGTATTAAACCTGTTTTGTACATTTTTTTGTTCCTCTGATAGTAAAATATAGAATTTTGATGATACATTTGTTGTACCTTGTATTTTGCTGATAGTTACACGGCTCATTGATTTCTAATGCCGCTAGACACGCAGTTATTTCAGGAGGGATTTCACAGAGAAGACAACCAGAGAAATTCAGTTTCTTCCCCAGAATCCAAACTGCTAAGCCTGGCCACACTCGTAGAATTTTCAAGCAGCCGCAAGCTGTACCTGTATCTGTATATAGCCGGTATAACCGCCCTTCGGCGTAACACACCAGCTTCTGTATCTGTATAGCCGGTATAACCGCCCTTCGGCGTAGCACACCAGCTTCGCAGGCGCGCGGCGCAGCGGCAGCTGGCTACATTACACCGAACAACGTCTTGCACCTAACCCTTGAACATCTAACTCTAAACATTGTTTAAAGCTATCTAATGCTAAAACCCCTACTTTGCTTGGTGACAGTGAGTTTCACTTTGCGATAGTTCAAGGAAAAAATGAATTTTTTTGGGAAAACAACTTGTAAAGGTGTCAATGCACCTGTTTTGTCCTCCCTTCCACTTGCATAAGTACTTGTACTTGTGGTAAACTCAAATAAACAATTTTTGAACACCTCAATCCTTGATTGATAGCTATGGTACTTGAAGGCATGGCCATTTCTTGTTCTCTTCTGGGCTGGTATTGGCAGTTGGTACGTCCACCAGTTAATCTGTCATTGTGTACATCATGCATAGTCTGGACATTTTTCGTCTGTCTTCCAGTGATGTCCACTGTAGGTTTCTTTTCATTTCCGTGACATTTATGTGACTGGTTTGTTTGTTTGTTTGTTTGTTTGTTTGTTTATTCGATCTCCATTAGATTTACATGAAATCTATTCTTCCTGGAGTCGCAAAATTACAATGAAATAAATGTACAGAACAGAACAAAACAAATGTACATGAAAGTAAAACCAACATAACAAAAGGTGTGAGTCTTAATCAAAAAAATAACATAACGCACACAACATTAACTGAAAACTGAACTTAAGTGAACGGGGAGAGGTCAGAGGTCATGAATGATTAATGTAACAAAAACGTTACAAAAAGAGGTTGCAAAACTGCAAACCATAAACAGTAGTAAATCAACAAGTGGGTGCAGAACTGCAAATCATAATAACGATAAGTAAATAACAAAGTGGATGCAGAACTGCAAATCATAATAACAATAAGTAAATAACAAATTGGATGCAGAACAGCTATCATAATAACAATAAATAAATAACAAGTGGATGCAGAACTGCAAATCATAATAACAAAAGTTATTACTATATATCTCGTGAGATCCGAACTAAGTAATTGGCAAATCATGCAGCCTTCTCTTTCATCGATAAAGGTTAGACATCCAGGAAATGGGATATACAAGGAAATTGTTCCTCAAGCAACTTGATAGATTTTGAAAACTGTCAGACGTTTCAACTTAGTGACTGACGAACAGTATAGGACTCTACTTTAAAACGTCTGACAGTTTATTTTCAAAATTTATCCAGTTGCTTGAGTATTTACTAGGAATTTTCTTTTTGTAGATTTCTCCTTTCTTAACGATCCACAACGGAGGCCATGACGGCCATGGCCCTTTAGGATAGAATTATCTGGATCGATCCGATTTGATTCGTTTTGA